TTGCTTTGCTTTGCTTTAGTTCATGGGTTTTGGGTTGGTTTGGCTTGGCTTTTATCCTCTGCATTCATATTTACATTCTCAGAAAACTCACCTGGCTCTGTTCCCTGGCTCTGAGTGCGCCTGACCACTTCCTCCACTGTGTTGTGCTTGCCTCCTCCTGGAACACCCTCCCAGTCCCTCTTTCCTCTAAGAGCCACTTCTACCTTTCTGAAGCCTCTTCAACAGTCCCTCACTGGAGTGAGACATCTTTCTCCTTGGAATTCGCAAAACACACTGTCCCTCTCTTGAGGCACTTACCTTAAACCACTAAGGTGGGCTTAGGGAGTGGAGAGAAACCTATTTTATCATCCTATCCTTCACCTCCTCCCCACCCCAAGGAGGGCAGAAGCTCCCATCCGCTCCTCAGCCCCCAGCACAAAGCCTGCCTCTGATGAGATACTTGTTGGAGGGAGCAATCGTTTTGATGCTTCAGACCACTGCATGTCCAGTGCCATGTCCAGCAGGTAGAAGGGGCCCAGCAAACAGAGCTGCTGTTCATTATTTCTGTGAGTGGAAGGGGCCAGAGGTGAGTGACCTGCAGAAGCTGTAGCCCAAGGCGATGGTGCATTCACGGTGAATTCAGAGTATCCAGGTGTCACTGGACACAAAGTTAGCAAAAAAGGCTATTTCCAGATTTACAAAGAAACTGGGCGACAGTAACTGGGCTCTGGCTCCTGCCTGGGTCTGGCTCCCTGGCTGCTGGCCTGGGGATATTTCTATTCTCAGGAGAGGAGCAGCTGCTTCTTGGGGAGCACACACCTGTGAAAAGACATGGCATCAGGGCTCTCGTCCCCCTGCCCATGGTGAATGGCCTGGGAAGAAGAGGACAGCCCCTGGGCAGTCAAAGACTCTCCTTTCTTCCTTTGTGCCTTCCAGCCTTTTCCTCTCCTGAGCCAGACCGCTAGTTATTAAAGTTGAAAAGAGAAAGTTACTGTCCTGGCTCTCTAGGGACTAGTTCCCCACAGAAAAGGTCAGTTTCAGTCTATTCTCAGAGGGGTCCAACAAGGACATACAGGGAGGTGAGAGTTCCTACCCAGGAGAAACTTCTGGCAAGGTTGATAGATGCCCCCTGCAAAAGCCAGTTCAGTGATCATGCAGCACTGACTGTGGGTATGGAGAGGAGTGTCCCTCGGGCTCAGAGTGTGGGCCATCACCCACCCAGGCAGGGCTGGGGTAGCAGGTCCTCCTACCACACAGCACCTATGGCGCTGGAATGTGGTCACCTCTCCATCCCATTAGTCTCCAAGCTGAGAAGACAAGGCAGTGTCTGGGATGGGGTGGGGTTCAGGTTTATTTTGCTTTGTTTAAATTTATTTATTTATTTATTTATTTATTTTTCCTAGATGGGGTCTCACTCTGTTGCCAAGGCTGGCCTGGAACTCCTGGGCTAGAGTGATCCTCCTTCTGCCTCTCGAGTAGCTCTGGGACTACAGGCACACGCCACTGCACCCAGCTTCAATGTCTTTCTTGTTTAATTCACTGTTGTGATTAAATTAAAAAAATAGCACACAGTAAACACGCCATTAATATTCATTAAGTTTTTAATTAATCAATTGTCTGTCCCAGTTAGCTTTGACTCTGAAGTGTTCCCACAGATTCTGCAGCTTACATGGGTTCCATTCAGACTTCAGTGTCTCTCAATGGCCAGCCCTGACCCTAACCCTTGTCTTGCCCCCTGATTTTCCTTCTGCTCCATGAACTAAGCTCTTAGGTCTTGCTCTGCCCTGTCATGCTGGTTTTTTTTTTGTTGTTGTTGTTGTTTTAATGAGATAGGGTCTTGCTAAATTGCTTAGGCTGGCCTTGAACTTGTGATCCTCCTGCCTCAGCCTCCCAAGTAACTGGGATTGTCAGCATGAGCCACTACACCGGGCTTATCATAGTGTTTTGACTATGCACCCTGAATGCCATTTCTGGATTTGTATTTCCTGCCTGCTGATGACCACTCACAGAAGTTGAGAACCAACGTGGTCCAGGCAAGAAGGAGTTCATATCCCCTCTGGGAGTCTGGGGTATTCACAATTCACTTTTGTTTTTAATAGTTAGCTCCCCTAATTATGACTTTTCATTTGTACAGCATCCTTTTGCTTCTCCTTGCCAGACTGATTATTGACATGTTCTATCCTTGGCTGCCCCAAACCCAGCACAGACAGGAAACTCTCTTTGCTAAGTATTGAGTAATGAGAGCAGTGGCATCTGTGTAGCTTTATGATTTACAAAACACTTTTATGTACATTATCTCATTTAGTCATCACACCATGCCTGTAAGAGAGAGATTAATACTGTTGCTATCTTACAGATGAGGAAACCGAGATCTTGCAGACAGGAAATAGCTGAAGTACAGCTTTGAACGTTGGCCACCTACTCTGTGTGCTTCAACTACACTGCCCTCAGAGAAACAGAAACGGTAAGCCTGCCTGATCCTCTCCACACCACAAATAGTAAGAGCGCCTTTCTGCTTCACCTGCCCTTGTCAGAAACCCACAGAATGTAAATCACATTTTTATTATTATCATTATTTTTGACCAATAATGTGTTGGTGATTTATAGGCTTTCAAGTGAATATTGAGGTTTGCTTCTACTAAGATTACTTCTATCTCAATGTAAAATCCAGTGGTATAATTAGCCTTTCCCATCTCTCCTTACATACTTAATTATCCTTAAGTGTTTTCAGATTATACTTTTAAAACTTTCCCTAGGCATCTAAGCAATATACCACAATAAAAACCATTTCACCTCAATTAGGACCAAAGAGTGCAGGAAAGGACAGAGAGGGGAAGAGAAGAGAATTTGCTAGATCATATTTAAGAATTAGGGGAAATTCACATCTATGTATGTTAGTCTCCCCTGTGCAAGAAGGGAGAAATTCGAGATTTCAGGGACCAGAAATCATGGTCTCCTGGGACACTACATGTACTGAACTAATACCGTGTGAGGAGGGAACTGGACAAGGGTGTGTGTGCTAGGTCGGATACAGTTGCATGACTTGAAGGACTGAATCTTTGGCTTTATGGACTCTTCCAGCTTCAAGCAGATGATGTTTCTGATCTGTGAAATACGCTGCCATAATCCTTGAGTCTCCAATAAAAGGATGGCATCCATGCTGACTAAATTTTTCAAAGCCCTTTCATTCCTGTTTTGCCCCTGACCTAGAGTGGACAGCTGATTAGAAACAGTGATAAAGATTTCTCAAAGTAGACCCAGTGTCTTCAGGGAGAACTGACAGGTGACAGCCAAAGAGGAGAGACAAGTAACACTGAGTAGAAAAGCAAATGCATAAAGCAGCCACGTTCTGTGTGGCATAATTGGTTCTGAAGGCATCAGGGCGTCGCACTGCAGTATAGTAATTGATGTTGATAATGACTGAGTCATCAAGAGAAGTTAAATTACAGCTATGTCACTGGGAGCTGGTCACTCAACTCATTTACAGAATATTTATTGGGCACGCAGTATGCCTTGACTCTGTCTTGACCCTGGGGGTAGAAAAATGGAGAAGGCATGATCTCTGCCCTCAAAGGGCTCTCTGGATTTCAGTTTCTCCAATGAAAAGGATGAGAGAGCCAAAGTAGATGATTCCTAAGAGCCCTTTCTAGAAGTTCTGAATGCTTTATGCATTAGGGTTTGGAACTCAACCGTCCTAGGAAATGACAATGCAGGCGATATAGCCCCATTTTGCAAGTGAGCAAACTGAGATGCAGAGGGGTTGGCATCCTCCTCAAGGCCACACATTTAACAAGGCACAGAGCCAGGACACTCTGGCACCGGGTCCACTCATGAAGAAACGGAAGGTCATCTTACTTCCACTCTTTTGCTCTTTCCACACTACCTCCCTCCTTCAAAAGGGCAATCAGTATAGATGGAGAAGAGCTCATGTGTTTGACAACTGCATGGATTTACAGGTCTGGAACACAAAATTCTGCAACTACAAAACATTATTGTCATGTGCAATTGGACAGTAATAAATATCTGTAAGATGAAGTGCAACCAAAGCTGTGTTGAAGGATCTGTCAAAATCAAGAGCAAGATTAAGTTTAAAAAGTCAATAGTGATGGCTACTAGGGACACATACTGGATAACTAAAATATCTTTGAGAGCAGGCAAAAGCCAGCTTGGGACTACTATGTAAAACTCTCTC